TGTCATGGAGCAAATCATCAATATACTTATGCTGACTCAAGAGAATACCACCTGCTGATCGAGTAACTTCAAGCCCCAAAAAATATGATAACGCACCGAGTTCCTTGAGATTAAAAGCAGCATGTAAACCATCAGTAAGAGCACGAATACCAGCTGGGTCATCACCGGTGACCACCATATCATCAACATATAGTAACAAGATGACCAATCCAGCATCAGTAGAATGAGTGAACAGAGAGGGATCGTTCAGACTCTGGGAAAAACCTAACCCCAAGATCGTGTGCTGGAATTTCTCAAACCGGGCCCGCGGGGCCTGTTTAAGACCATATAAAGAGCGATTTAGGCGACAAACCTGACCCGGCTTAGCATGAGTGTAGCCCGGGGGACACTCCATGTAGACCACTTCTTGTAGATCGCCATGGAGGAATGCATTCTTGACATCCAACTGCAGTAACGGCCGCTGCTTAATCGAGGCAACCGCAATCAGTGTCCGCACGGTTTGCATCTTAGCCACAGGGGCAAAAGTCTCTGTATAGTCGATGCCGAACTCTTGACTGAAGCCCTGAGCAACAACCCGAGCCTTAGGCCGCTCCAATCTCCCATCAGGATGAAGTTTCAACATGTACGCCCATTTACTATTGATCACCGGAGTAGGAGGAGGTGGACGATCAACGATGGTCTACGTATCATTGGCGTGGAGCGCATTGATCTTTGTGTCCATGGCTCCCTCCCAAAGAGGATCGCCTTTGGCCTTTCTATACCTAGTAGGAACCACAATGGACGCAACATTAAAAGTAACATAGTCTCTCATATAGGAAGGCGGCTGACCGAGAGTGGAACGATTGGAACGGCGGAGGGGAGCTGGCGGAGGAGACGGCGTAGGTGATGACTGTGGCGATGGAGAGACAGATGATGATGGGGACGAGTCAGTCGAAGAGGAGGGCGACGAGTACGTCGAGGAAGATGCAGTGGTGGAAGTTTGCGGAGATGGCGGTGGGGATAGGTCGGGCGCATGGTCATCGTCGGTCTCAATAAATTCACCCGGATTAATACTATCAAATGACAAGGGACACAGTGACGAAGCAAAATTTTTGGACTCTGATGATGACACAAAGAATGGAAGGTGCTCAAAAAACACCACGTTACAAGACACACGCACCCTATCCAGCAACGGATCAAAGCAAATGTAACCCTTGTGGACTGAACTGTATCCTAGGAAGGCACAACGAGCATTTTTTTATGACAACTTATCCCGTTCACGACGAGGGAGGAGAACGAAACACGTACACCCGAAGACACGTAGACTACTATAGTCAGGATGGGACGAAAATAAGGCGAAGTAGGGACTCTTATTACCAAGGATGGGTGTAACCTGATAATTGATCAAGCGAACAGGGTGGAAACCTCTTCTGGCCAGAAACGAGGTGGGACAAATGACTCGAGAAGAAGAGCACGGGTAATTTCTAGGACATGGCGGTTCTTTCGTTCAACTACACCGTTTTGTTGGGATACGCAAGGGCATGATTTCTGAAACAGCATGCCTAGGGAGCGATAGAGATCGAGAAGAGCATTAGAGCTAAACTCGCCTCCTTTGTCTGAACGAACTATGCAAACCTGTTTTCCAAACTGAGTTTTAATCATGGCAATAAACTCGGTAGCAACAGCTAGAAGATTAGACTTCAGACGAAGAAAATACACCCAAACAAAACGAGTAGCATGATCCACAAAAAGAGCAGAAGAGCGATAGCCATGCCTAGAAACTACGGGCGAGGGACCCCAAAGGTCAGAATGGACGATATGAAAGGAATCTTGAATGATCGTTGTACTAGACGGGAAACTTTTTCGAGTGGACTTGGCAGCAACACAACTGGTACACAACATTTTAGAGGAACTATCAATCATCTTATTAGTACCAAATAAACCAAGTTTGACCATCGATACAAGCCAATTCAAATGCGGATGACCCATACGTGAATGCCAAAGATTCAATTGTTGATCAGGAAGACTCGAAAAGACCGAACACGAAAAGACAGAACCCGAAGAAGACCTAGACACCGACTGACTGTTTGATGACTGATCCGAGAGCTCCTCCAAATGGAAAACCCGACCATGCCTACTCCCGCGCCCGACCTGTCTCCCCGTCTTCTCTTCCTGCACAACACAGTCAGAAGGGGAAAATACCACCCGATAACCCTGTTCAGCGAGCTGACCGACCGAAACAAGATTTGGAAATAATTTCGGTACAAACAAAGTATTAGGAAGAGTGACAGGAGGGTACGTGACATGCCCAATACCCGTAACTCCCAACTGATCCCCATTGGCAACCTGTAGTGTCATATCTCTAACCGTCACAACATTTTTAAGCTTAGAAGCATCACTCGTCATGTGATTAAAGCATGCGGAATCAAGCAGCCAAGGTTTGAGAATACCTGATGTTTGAAGGGAGGCAAAGGCGGAGCTCAACACAGTAGGTAGTGAACGTTGTAAAGCAGCATTGACAAGATCCTCAACTGCTTCCGGGCTGAGCACTGACCCGCTCGCTGAGGGCTGGGATTGTTGCGCGGCAAAGGCTGGATGAGAAGGAGACCCAGCTTGAGATGAATCCGAACGAGCTCCAGCAGACAATCGGCGACGATTTTGAAGAGAGGGGCAGTCCAAAACGATGTGCCCTGGTTTCTTACAATAGACACACATGTTGCGCTGACGGCAATGTTTTTGTAGATGTCCCTTCACGTGGCAATGGTGGCATTCAAGATCCGACACAGGTACACGCTGGTGGAATTGAGGACGTCCGACAGCGAAAGCTTGATCCGCTGATCGCTCTGGGCGAGATGAACCAGAAGATGCGGCATAAACAGCATCACCCTCGCCAGGACGCGTATTCAGCTTTGCTTGGGTACGAATGCGAGTTTCCTCGCGAAGAAGCTTGCCGAGAACCCCATCCATGGTGATCTCATCCTGATTGATGAGAGTAGACCTAACTGATTCGAACTCCGGGCACAGCCGCATCAAAAACTGAAGAAGACTCTGCTGCCGCCTCTCATCCATGACTTCGGCCGAGGCTTCTTTCGAGCGCAAGGCGGCGGTGAGCAGGTCATGCTCTATCCACAGCTCCTGGGCATCATTGAAATAAGTAGATACATCACGATTGCCCTGTTCCATATGATCTAACGCCGCCTGCACCTCAAACTGGCGCGCCATGTTGTTGGACGAATAAGTAGTCTCCAGGTGCTTCCACATAGAACGCGAGTCCTTCATCAATCGAAGACCAAGAATAATGGTCGGATCAATCGACCCCAAAATCAACAACCTGACCCTAGCATCGCTTTGATTCCACTTGGCGATGTCCGCGGCAGGTGACGCAGCAGCAGGCTTCTCCGATGAGCCATCAATCAAACCAAGGAGGCCCTTGCCCTCCACAAACACACGAAACTTAGGGCTGGGATTCGGGTAGGCGGTTAACGGTTTAACTGATAACCGTACAGGTAACCGCGATTATCGGTTAAACCGTTAACCGTGAAGAACGGTACGCGGCTGGGGGGCTGGGGGCAACGGTATACCGGGACCGGGAAGGGGACTTACCGTCGGCTGTCCGGTATTTCAATACCGAAATTAAGGAAAGATTGCCGCTCCAGAAATCCAAATCCCCAAGCCCAACCTGCCAACCCTACGACATTTGGCCTTCCTATTCTTATTAGTATTAGACTAATTACTATTAGTAAATAAATTTCCTTCTCGCCTCTGCCTTCCTCAAGACTCACAAGTCAATCGCCGCCGATCAAACCCAAGCTTCCAATCTTCGCTCTCTCCGTCGCCGCCGCACGTTCGAGTTGCGAAGCACAACCCAGCAGCCCAAAGCGCTCCGCTCCCATCGCCATCGGACCCATTCTCCGTCGACCCAATCCTGCTGCTCGTGTCGTCCCCATCGCAGTTGGAGCTTTCCCGCTCAACCAAGAAGCCCAGGGCCTCGTTAGAGTTCAGGTTAGAAATTTAATTACATGAAGGGTGATTTGTATTTAGGTTGGCATGCCACCATTAGAGCTTGGAAGTTTGTTCCCCACGCTGCCACGCTTTAGCTTGGAAAGTATTAGAAGTTTAATTACAAGATTAAAATGAATTATTTGTCTACTTGTTCATATTAGTAGGAGCAGCAAGCCACCGCTAGAGCTTGGAAAGTAGAAGGGGATCAGAGGACCTCGACTTTGTCTTCTTGCTCTTTTAATTCTTAGTTTTGTTTTATTGTTTGCTGGTGGTGCCCAGAGAGAGATGGACATTGAAACTTGGAAGAAGTGAAGAATCATGTGATTCTCTTTGAGACTTTGTCAGTGACGCAAGCAGCACCCGCCCATGTGCTATTGTGCTCCCACAAAATGATAATGTCATTGTCCATTTTCCGGCAGCAGCAAACCGCCAAGGCGCCAACCCGTCACAGTCGGCAAACGGGTAACCGTCCCAGTACCGTGACTCTCTCTTTCGGTAAACGGTTTACCGACCTGCATCCGGTAACGGCAAACGACAAGGGTCTTGGAAGTTCCGGTATACCGGTAACCGGTCAAATGGTAACCGGTTTAACCGGTAACCGACCGATTACCACCCCTAACGAAACTGGAACTCCCACACAGCATAATTCTTGGAGTTCAGTCGAATAGCAAGACGATCGGAATCGCCGGACGAAAGCTCTGATACCATGTTAACAAATCGAGCTTGATCAAACGGAGAACAATAACTTCACACACACGATATACGTGGTATCCCGATATTCGGGACTAGTCCACGGGAGAGATGGCCTCTCCTAGCTGAGATCTTATTATCACGAGTTCAAGTTGTGTCGGCTACAACACTCAACATGCCTATATATACCCATGCAACCCTAATGCCCCATGCAACCCTAATTCACGTCCCAAAACACCCCAAAGTCTCCACGTCCAAACATAAAAGGTCCAGAACAAAATATGTACATAAATGGGCCAAAATCCCAAACAGATCCGCTAACAGAAATCTCAGCCCGAATCAATGAGGAAGAAGCTTCCTCGCAACATGCAGTAGAAGGACATGAATGTGGGTCGATGATGATCCCGTTTGCGATACTTCCATTTGCGATTTGGAACCCGATCATAGCTCCCATCGCCGATAGCTCTAATCTCTAGCAACCTTCTTACTCCGCTATTAGACGCTGCAAAATGGTGACTCCCGGACTTCGTGTTGTTGTCCTCGACGTCCATATCCTTTACTACATGGATCAAAAACTCATCTGCACTAGTAACGGAAGATACACCCCATATTGCCCCGTCAAATATTCTCATGTCAACTTCCCCATCTCCTTCTTGCGTCCGCGACATGAGCTTATAATGAAGCCAATTATCATCTTCCCATCTTACCTCCCCATGCCTACGTACGACTGTAAGAGAGCATAGCATTTCCATGCAAACAATGGCGGATCCAGGATATAGTAGAACACTGGCCGCATTTGAATAAAAAATTAGATACCATAAACAAAAAATATAATAACTATAGTTTACATTAAAATATCAATTATAGTAAGAAAATAATATTATTTTCGCCTTTTTATTTGGTATTTGAGAAGATACCATGATGAAATATCTTCAAATATGCATAATCAAATAGCACAATAATTATATACTCTCAAATTTCTAATTAACTTCCAAATTCTTATTAGAATACACCAAATAACACGACAAACTCTACCTATTCATGCTAACCTATGCCGGTCGAGTTTTACTATTTTGACCAAGAATTAACCAAAGTTTGGGGGATGACACTATACTCTAACCTCTAATGGGTGAACCCCGTCCCTGATTCTCGAACCCGAAGCATAAAATTCATTTAATCTAAAAATAATAATAACCAACATTTCTGATTCATCGTAATATATAAATAACAAATAACAAGTATGAACGCAGGCTTATAGCGTAAGCTTAAGCGTACGCAATATTAATCAATTTGGAATGTTTTAATAGCCAGAAGAGAGTTCATAGGTTGTAAGAAATGTTCTGGTAGTTGAACATTAAGGAATACCAACCAGTTCAAGGAGTTGTTCCATCGATCAGTTACAGTGATGATTGTTGTGTTTCGATTTTCATTTTGGACTGAAGTGCAACAAGAAAATTTGCAGTACCCAACCAGATTCCGTTGGACGATTCGTTGGATTGTCTTAGAGAGGTATCAGTTTGGGAACAATGTTGACCGCCAACCAGTCCTCCCATTTTCAGCCCGATACAACCATGAACCGAACAACCATTCTCCGTGATTCTTGGCGGTCACCGCCTTCCAGCGGCTTCTTCCGATATTTCCAATTAGCTTGGAGCAGCCCAAAAGAACTGATTGCACCAGCAACTGTAGCGACAGCAGCGACAGAATGGACTTCCTGCAGCTTCAACAACAACGGTGATAGCTCGACAACCGGAAGCTTCTTAACAGTGGCGGCTTCTAGTTGGGCGGCGGCATACGATCAGAAGCTACAGCCGATGTTGGCGGCGTAGTATCCCAAACAGACGCTCCACATCTTTTCTTCCTCTTCTTCTTATGATAGAAGCGCCTCCCCCCTTCAAGGCGGACGACGACGGTATCACTAAGGGTAGGCGTTGTAGCTAGTGGCCCACACGGCCCAAAAATCATTCACGCATCAGGGTGAAACAAGAAGGTAGGTGAAATATTCAAAGAAAGAAGATGGGTTAGGGTTACGTTGGAGAAACATCAACAATCCCTCTGTAATTGGACAAAAAGCTCTAAGTCTCCTAGATCTTCAGATCATACCTATTTTTACTTTATATTTCTTTTTTCTAACTTGGTCGTCAAAAAGCGTACACTAACCTTTATTACCAATCAAGAACTAACTACAAAATGTTACCATGCCAATTATCAAATTATGTCGTGTCATACCTATACTGAACTGAATCTCTCTTGCAAAAAAAAAAAGAGAGGAGCTCTCTCCTCTCTCCTCAACTTCTGCTTTGTCGTCGGCCGGCTACTAATTGGTGGGCTCGTGCCCCTTGTCGCCGCCAGCTTGCGAAATCAGCGTGCGGAGTGTAGCCGTTGGAGCATTGAACTGATTGATGAAATACTAGGAACCAAACTAATCCCCAGAGTTAGGTTGCCACACTTACTTGACCTCACGATCATGGACCGCGACAGTAAACGTGTCCTTTGTGAGCAGAAACAACGAAGTCCGGATTGGTGGGTCGGACGCAAGAAACGTAAACTCACCGATTGCGAAAGTGATAAAGGTGCACGAATCAAACGACGTAAGATGGTGCAAAGGATGGGGTGGCGATTTAGCCTACCTTCATCATCGGAATTGGAAAGTGAATACTCCTATACTACCAACCCGAATCCTAATGCTGTGCCGATGAACCTTGATCGAGAAAACACGCCAAATAATGATCAGCTTTTGGTTTGGTCAGAGGCGTCCCCTCCTGCTCAAAATCTATCCCCTATAACGCCGATGTTACAATGGTCGGCGACGACTTTTTTCATCATGGTTAGGTCGGGTACTCACTGCTCCACCGTTGGCCGCGTATCTTGTTCACGGTGGTAGGGCAAAGATTGGGTAATTTGGCAAGATACCTCCCCGGATATCATGCCCTGGTTTCGGGGAGTGGGGTGTTATCTTTCCACCCTAAAATTTACAATTTAAAAAATCAAAAACTGTCTCCTAGTCAGAGATTAACTCTACTAGGGTTGGGAAAGTCGGTTTCGTTTCCCTGTGGGAGTGCTTGGGCTCCTTTACCCTTTAAAAGTCTACCGCACTTAATACGTACTCTCTTTTCCTCTCTAAGAAGTGAGTCCCCAGTGGTGGAAAGACAGATAGCTGCTCCCCAACAACAACGAACGGACATCCGTAATAGCCCAGGTATAGGGCCACCGGGGATTTGTCTATCCCCCAGCCCATTCTCGTTACTTAATTCTTCTTCTCTGATTAATCCCTTGCCTCATCCAACATATCGATTGTTTGATATGGACATGAAGGAGAGGCCTGCTAAATGAGACATTAATGCTTGCCCCTCTCCTCCTATCCTTTTTCAGGATACTAAGATGACGCATGTAACGGAGGATCAGATGGTCCAGTTTTTGCTGGACGAAGTTCAGTCTGCGAGATTTCGTAGTTCCCGAACTTTGTTGGGTCAATTGATTGCTGATACTGGACTAACAATGGTGGATTTGCGCGATGCCATGAACACACAATTGCAAGGAAAGGGGTCGATATGGTCATATACGAATACCTACCCAGCTTCCGCTTACATTGTGGACGTGTGGCTAATTTACAACGGGAGTGCTCTTATGATCCTCCGACTCGTAAGGAAAAGTTTGGACAGCACATGTCCACGACAAATCTGGTACGTAAAATCTATGAAGAAGAGGATGCTAACCCGCCATTTATAGGTGCTTAAAGTTCTGTGTGGGTGAACAAGGATGCTCCCGGTACTCATGTTGGCTGTGACAGGAATGATCACGGGCGTGAAACCAAGAGCATGGCTGGAACACGTGTTGATCAGCAACTACCGTTTCAGATGCAGAGGGGAGAGCCCTTGAGCCGGTCTTTTGGCATGGAGAGGGTGAACTTGAAGTCAGAACCCCGAAGAGGCAGCCCGTGGTACTTCAAATTTTTGAATCCCCATGGATCCGAGCTGGGCATAGGGGACGCAACTTATCCCCTAACCATCAGCATCACGACTTCTTGTCTGCGGGGGGCCGAGCTCGAACTGATCGAACAATAGGTGCTGATAGGACGAGTGATAATTCGTCAAAGCAGATGGCGGAGTCTGACATCCCTACTGCTGTTCGAATGTTAGAACTTGATCGAGTCAAGGCTATTCATCCGATTAACTGGGACAAAGTTCGGAGCCTTGAAATAGATTTGAATAGATAGTGGGAGGCGGAGGAAGTCTATTGGAAGCAAAAATCCAGGATCTAGTGGCTGAAGAAGGGTGATAAAAATATATCGTATTTCCATACGATTATGATGACTCATAGAAAACGGAATTTTAAGTTCGTCCTTCGTAACGACAGGGGAGAATGGATCACCAAGGAACAGGGTAAGGCAGAAATTGCCAATCATTTTTAATAGGCTTTTTTCACCTCGAGTGGGCGACTGAGCTACCTATACCTCGTAGTGTTACACCGGAAATGAATGTCACGGGGAAAACGGTCTTCTCCATGGGTTGAAACAGACACCTGGCTCTGATGGCTTCACGGGGAAATTCTTCAAAGCCTACTGGGATATTATTGGCGACTCAGTGATTGCAATTGTTTGTTCGTTCTTTGCAACGAGCAAGATGCTCCGGAGCGTTGATCACACTTGGTTGATGTTAATTCCTAAAGTGGATAATGTGGAGACCATGAGGCAGCTCCGACCAATCAGCTTGTGTCAGTTTGTGTATAAAGTTATCACCAAAATCATGGCTGAAAGAATTGCTTGCTTCTTACCCCAAATCATATCGGATGGGCAAAATGCGTTAATCCGCGAACGACAAATAGTTGAGAATGTACTTCTAGGGCTTGAGTTCATGCTTACTTGAAAATCAAAATGCGGGGTAAGAAAGGATACATGGCTCTAAAGGTTGACATGGAAAATGCCTATGATAGCGTCGAGTGGCCCTTTCTGCTCACCATTTTGGACAAAATGGGCTTTACCTCCATCTGGAGGGGATGGATAAATGAATGCCTCAGATCAACGTCGTTCTCGATCCTCATGAATGGCACCCCCTAGGGATTCTTCACTCCTTCTAGGGGACTCCTTCCTGGGGGATCCTCTGTCTCCCCTCCTGTTCGTGATCTGCACCAAGGCGTTCGGGACACTCCTTCGGAAAACTGTTTTGGAAAAAAAAAATTGGAAGGAGTTAAGGTGGCTCCTCGAGCTCCTCGAATCTCGCATATGTTTTTCGTTGATAATTCTTATTTATTCCTTAGAGGCTCTCTCCAAGAATGTGAGAACTTGATCGAGGTCTGAATGAATATGAGGAGCTTAGTGGCCAAAGGGTGAACTAGGCTAAATCAACAATTTGTTTTAGTAAGAATATTGCTCTGCAAGACCAAGACTTCTTGGCTCAGGTTCTGGGTGTCGAGGAAATTGGGGCCCATGATAAATATCTGGGGTTACTTACGCTCATTGCCCAGTCTAAAATGGCCATTTTTCGCTATTTAGAGGAGAAGTTGCTTGAGCGCCTCTAGGGCTGGAAGCAGAGGACATTGCCATGGGCTGCTAAGGAAACTTTTATTAAATCAGTAGCTTTGGCTTTGCCGTTGCATGTTATGTCATGTTTCAAACTGCCTCTATCTCTGTGCCGGCTTTTGGATAAGCATGTGGCTAGATTTTGGTGGAGTGTGGCAGATGGGCAGTCGAAGATTCGATGGATGTCCTGGCGCAATATGTTTAAGAGTAAACACGATGGGGGTATGAGATCTCATCGATTCGAGCACTTTAATCAGGCTCTTTTGGCTGAAATTGGGTGGCGTATCCTTACCGATACCCAATCCCTCATATCCTAGGTTTACAAAGGGAAGCATTTTCCTTCTACCACTTTCCTCAAAGCTATGGCTCGCTCTCGCCCATCTTGGGGGTGACAGAGTATCCTCTATGCCCGACAATTATCATAAATGAGACTACGCTGGAAAATTGGTAATGGGCAGACTACGCCTCTACTTCAGTCCATCTAGATACCTTAGTTGCATCCCTCTTCCACAATATTTAACCCCCTGGTGCTCTCCAACGATGGGGGAGCGAAGGTAGCTGAGGTTATCTGTCCAGGGGAGGGGCGTTGGTGTGACACAAAGCCTAGCAGTGGTTTGACCCACCAACCTGCCATGCCATAAAGGCTATTCCTCTTCCTCGTCAAAATGTTGAGGATAGACTGATCTGGCATGATACGGGTGACGGGGTTTGCACTGCTAAATCAGCCTACCATTTTGCAGTCTTAATCGATAAGCGGAGGGGTCACTGGAGGGCCATAGCAAGTTGGATGGATAGGGCCAGTATTCGTTTATGGGAGACTAATAATCCTCCCAAGTTGAAAGTTTGTCGGGAAAATATTTAACCAAATCCTTCTAACCAATGTAGTCAAAATCCCGATTTTAATCTTAAAATCTTACAATTTTACGATCTTACCTATGGGTTCCGATCATGATTTTATTGTAAAATCTTTGAACCTTAAAATCCCATAAAATCCCAATTTAAAACTCTAAAATCCTTAAAATCTACGATTTCTACGATTTTGTACGATTTCAAGGTTCACATCAATTGGAGCAAAATGAGGCTGGTCAAGTCCGGTTCTGTCCATAAACCAAGTCAAATTTACTTCTCATGACCCAACATAATGAACAACGCAACCCTAACCCAATCGACAACACTCAATTTATTTTCATTCTCTTCCTCGTATCTTCCTTTTTCGCACGTCGACGCCCAACTCCTTCCTTCAACGATATCTTCCACTCTCCCAATTAGCTTGTAGGTTTTTCCCACCACCCTCACAAAAATCCAAATCTC